CGTAGCACAAAAGGCAGGAGTTTGGAAACCCAGCTTCTAGTTCTGACTCAGTAGCTCTCTTCCCTTACCCTCGCGGGGGTTCAGTTCTCTGCCTACCTCATGGGGTCGCTGTGGATGATGTGAAAGAAAGTATGTGAAAAGTCTTGCAGAGGACAGAGGGTACTATGATCCCAACAGCTGGGGAGGCTGAGGCTGGGAGATCACTGGAGCTTGGAAATGCTGAGTTGCAGTAAGGCTGAAGTGTTTGGCGCCAGAATGGTGGGCACCCCAGGAACAGGGGTCTCAGGAGGGGCAGACACGCCTCGTTTGGAAACAGGAGGAGGTCAAAGCTGTTGGGCTGAACAGCAGTGGGTTTGGGTCCTTCACTGGTCTCTGCAACTTTCTGCCTGGGTGGGGCAGGAGACCCAGACTCAACAGAGTGGAGAGGTAGAGAGGAGGAAGAAAATGCCACCGGAAAGTTACTTATGAATATACAATGAAGTTATCCAGATCCTGCTGTGTCACTAAACAGACACACAGGTCCACCTCTTAGAGATCCTAAGGAAGGCCTTGATCGATGCTAACACAATGACTCCTTGTGGCACTCGTGGACTCAGAGGACACAGGGCGTGGGAGACACAAACCAGGGCTTCCTGCACATTTTCCTTTTGAGTCTGACTTTTTCTTTCATTTTTCCTGAAGATTCTCCCAAAAATGAGGATTTTGGATTTGTCGTATACTGTTCAGCCAACTGCCAACATTTCATAGACTTCCAATTTCCTCTTTGACAAAGTGCTTAAATTCTCCCCACCCAGAATGTTAGGCGGCAGTCATCTTTACAAGATCCTAGAAAGTATGTATTTTCATTGGTACCTAGTACCACAGGATTTAGAGCTGAAAGAGACACTGACACATAGTGCTTTAAATTTGCGAAGCAGTTCACCCGTGTTCCCAGTTGGGCCTGACAAGAGTCCTTTCTAGTAGGCACTGCCTGTATTCTTTAGGTTTTACTGATTAGGGAAGAGTTTGAGAGGTTGGCACTGTCCATGGTCCCAGAACTTGTAACGAAGGTAGGCCATCCCCATCTCAATCATGAGGGGTCTAGTCACTTGACACCTACCCCAGCTAAAACAGGCATCTGGTATGTTACGTAGGTTAGCTTTTTAGTCATTCCCTTTACATTGAGAATTCTCTGAGAAATTTTGGGCACAGTAAAAAATCTTATGCAAAGTGATCGTGAAGGAGAGGATGGGTCATCACTGTAGTCAAGAAGCCAGGACAACCCCTTGGAACGTGAAAAGGGAAGTTTGGGGAAGCAAAATAAATGCCCATACATGGTGGAAAAATAAGTGGGGCCAAGAAAGGAATGCAGGGGAGTGGAGAAGTGCACAGGGACCTGGGCACATCCCCTAAAATGGAGATTCTGGGAGGACCTGACCCTGTCAACAAAGGGACTGTGGGGTTGGAGTGAGAAGACCCTAGGAGGGTTCCCACTTCCACCCTATCAGTTTATCGAACCTGCCTAGCTGACCATGTCTGAGCCCCACTCCAGCCACACCGATTGCCCTGGCCTCACCTAGATCTCTGTATTCAGAATGCACCAATAGTTTCTTCAGGAGTCTTCCCCTTTACCCCCAACTTCTCCTAAGCCCACCCAGCTGCATTTCTTGTCCATGTTCTGGGAATTACCTGGCGCTTCAGCAACCTCCCAAATAATTTCCCTGCTTTCTGGTTTTCCACAGTTTGTTCCTTTGGATGAAGCTCTGCTGCCTGCCCAGCTTTAAACTGGGGGAGTCATTTCATTCCCCAAAAGATTAGCAGCCATTTTCTTTCTAGGGGATTTCCTGTTGTATCACAATGCTGACTTACTGAGGAGGGCCGGATGGGCTCAGAATAACCCCAGGTGAGAGTCAGGAGCTACTCTCAACTAGACAGCAATTAAACATGGAAAGAAAGGTGCTCCAATTACATCATCATCTGATTTTTGCAAAAACTTTCTACCCTTTATTTTTTCTCTGTCATTTAAGTGTGGTACTAATCTTACCATAGCAAGGACTCTTCCTTCCTGACATTGCTCAGCATGTTATTTGGACACCTATGGCCAGGCAAGATGGAAAGGGAGTCCTTGTGTTTAGCCCCAGCTGTCAGATTTTCCCACTGGGCTAAAGTCACTTGATCAGTTGTTTCAGACTCTCCGTGGTCGCATTTGGGGTTTTCTTGGCAAAGGCACTGAAGTATCTTGCCATATCCTTCTCCAGCTCATTTTACAGATGAAGAAACTGAGGCAAACAGGGTGAAGTGACTTGCCCGAGGTCACACAGCCAGTAAGTGTCTGAGGCTAGATTTGAACTCGGGTCTTCTGGGTCAAGCCTCTCTGGTCTCTGGAATCCAGGCCCCAGTGCTCTATTCACCGCACCACCCAGCTGCCCCAGAAGTCACTTAATCATGCTCAGATACTGTATCTCCTACAGCTATGTTTTGTAGATGGCAAACCTTCCTTTCAGTTTAAAAGGGTTACGGTTAGCACAGTGTAGAAAGAGCTAGAAGGACCTCAGCTGGAGTACATATGCTGTCGATTCGTACCTGTATAACGTTGGGTAATCATGGAACTAAAGGGCAGACAGATGTCTGCTGCTCTCAGTAATAAATACCATAATCTTGTGAGGAACAGCTTCCTACAGAAAGTGAAAAATAATTTAGGAGCATCAGAAATAGGATCTTTCTTCATTACTCCACTAGTCCATGTAGTTAAGAATAGCTAGCATTTATATAGTGTTTACTGTATGCTAGGCACAATGATAAACATTTTATAAATATTCTCTCTTGATTCTCACAACAACCCTGGGAGATAGGTGCCATCACTGTTCCCATTTTACAGATGGCTGGGACAAGTTAAGACACTTGCCGAGGCTGGGACTCCAGGCCGGTGGTCTATCTACCATACCACCTGCCTGCCTCTAGTTCCACTGAGAAGTGGTTTATGAGATGGTGAAGTAATAAATTTCTAATTATATATGCACACACGTGTATTTCTTGTTCATTCAACACATGTTTGTTGAATACCTACGTGGTAGGCACTGCTTGGTGCTGGCAGTACAAAATTATCATCTAAGCCTTTCTTGAGATTGGTTATTACAAGCTTTTACCGTGATGCTCTTGGATGAAAGAATTTCGTAAATTGTCTAACCTCTGTGGAAAAGGAGGCCTCTGTATAATTCTAGGTTGCTGGAAATTGATGAGTGAGTCCATTTTGCTGCATCTCTTTCTCCTTAGTCTCTCACCTTATCTAAAGATATTTATTTAGTGCCCACCCAGAGTCCCCTGTCCTGTACAAGTTTCTGGTCTCTGGTTAGTCATAGGTCAGTACTGTGGTAATGGGAGGGACTACTGTTGTCTCTAAAACTTGATCCTTAGAGTGAGGTCCCGGGGGTCTGTCTGAGCAGCGGTACCACCCAGCAGGCCAACTAGACACCATCTGTGCACAGCTTTTAAATGGGAGAGTACCATTATGTTCACCGATGAAGCCATGACTTCTTTTTTCCCATGATGCTGTACATTAGGCAGCTAGGTGTTGAGTGAAAGACCTGAAGTCAGGAAAATCCCAGTTTGAATCTTACCTGCAGACACTGGGTAAGTCACTTAACCCCTGTCAGTCTCAGTTTCCTCATCTGTAAAATGGGTAATAGCACCTTCCAGGGTTGTGAAGATCAAATAAGTTAACATGTGGAAAGTGCTTTACAAATCTTAGAGCACTTTATAAATACTCTTATTATTATTATTTATAAATACTCTTATTATTGTTACCTTTGTGCCTGGAATTTTTTCCAATTTATTTTTCAATTAAAAAAAAAAAACCAAACACCGAACAGACAAAATAGGTGGTAAATAAATGTAAAATACAGAGTTGGATGCCTCTGCCTCCTACCTTCTTCTCTTTGCCTTCCTCCTTCCCTCTCCCCTTTCTGGTCTCTTTCCCTTCCTCCCTCTTTTTCTAATGGGAGGGGTCAGGCTCAATGACTTCTGCAGGCCCTCCCAGGTCTAACATGATCCTGCGATCTGTGTCCACGGACCCCCTCCCCCCAGGAACCTCCTCTGTGGCTCACATCTCTGCGGGGTCTTTTGCTACAAAATGCAAGCTCTCTGTACAAGCTTATCCCAGTAGGTGGACGACAGGGAGCTTTATTCAGCTGTTCCCTTGTGGATGGACACCTCTTGGTTCTCATTTCTTTATGACCAGAGAAGCCTTCCATAAGAATTTTTTTTACGTGTAGGTCTTCTTCCTTTTTTCAGCTGAGCTTTAGAAAATCTTTAATCTATTTTTAGGATTGGGGGGAATCGGAACTAGAAGAAGCTTCAGCAACCATCTAGTCCACTCCACCTTATTTGACAGATGAGGAAATTGAGACCCGGGCTGGTGAAGTGAGTGCCAAAGTTGTCTGGCCGGTGAGGGGCACAAGCATTGTTCAGCCCCAACCCTCATGACTTCCGAGTCTAGCATTTTCCACTGTGCCCCTGGGATGTCTGCACAGCTGACATCTACATCACCTAGCTAAGTTTGACTTCCTTAACTCAGCCCATCTATCCTTGGTCCCTCTCTCAATTCTTGTGACTCGATGAAGCTTTCCAGCCATCCCTCGTGCCTCTGAACCAAAGAGAAGGGAAGCGGAGGGAAGGAGTCCTCCAAAGAAGGGGTCAGGGCTTCTGGGTCAGGCCTCTCTGGTCGGCAAGGTCTCAGCCGGGTGTCGGCGTTGAGCATTTACCAAGGCCTCAGACGAAGCAGCTTCCCTGGCAGCAGAGCGGGGTCTGTATGACCTTGGAGCTGACATTTTTGGCTGGCCATGTGGCCTGGACTGGCAGTGACAGCTGCAGGCTGGGTGGGGGCTGGAGGAGCTCAGTTCCTCGCCCAGGTTCCCTCTGCCGCCTCAGTCCTTTGTCCCTTCAGCCGGGAAGAAGCCGACTCTTCCATCTAACAGGAGATGTGTTCCTAGGGGACTTGGGAGGTGAGATTGTGTATGGCACTAGGTTTTGGGCAGTCAGGTTCCACTCTTCACTGAGGGACCGTTACTCTTTCTGGTCACTTAGGGGTGGGATTGAGCTGGAGATGGGGCAGGACCAGTCTAAACAACAGATTGAGAAAGGCCTTCAGCTGTACCAGTCAAACCAGACTGAGAAAGCCCTGCAGGTGTGGATGAGGATGCTGGAGAAGAGCACGGACCTCGTAGGCAGGTTCCGAGTGCTGGGCTGCCTGGTCACTGCGCACTCGGAGATGGGCCGTTACAAGGATATGCTGAAGGTAAGGAGGGGCTTCTTGGGGCCAGGCAGAGTTGGCACCCCCCCACCTCACCACTGCACTGCCCTGAATTACAGTGTTCAGAGGAAGCAGAAGTGCCAGCCTTTGGGCTCTTGGGCTCAGTTGGATAGGGTCAGGTTAGTAAACAGGCCTAGGACTGCCGGCCTATGGGAGGAGAAGTGCCTCCCTGCCTAAATCAAGGAAGGTAGTGACGTTTCGGGGAGCCCGTAGCAAGCCTGTAGCAATCTCCCTCTCGGACGAGGTGTGAGTTGGAATTGGGGAGTATCTGTCTTGATCTCCCCCCTTGGCTTCAAACCAGTTCCCCACCCACCTTACCCAGCCTATCTCACTTTCCCCAGACTTGCTTTGGCCCTGCCCTGGTGAGTCTGTACTTCCACTGGGCTATATTCCACCCCTCAGTGATGGTGGGCCCCAAACTGCTCGGAGGTTGAGCCTCTAGGGTCTCGGCTGAGGGCGGGGTCTGGGTGGCAGTTTGCTGTGGTGCAGATCGACACAGCCCGTGAATTGGAAGATGCTGACTGCCTCATGGAGAGTTACCTGAACCTAGCCCGAAGCAACGAAAAGCTCTGTGAATTCCAGAAGACCATCTCCTACTGTAAGACCTGCCTCAGCATGCAGGGTACCCGGGTGGGTCACCAACTGAACGGGCAGGTCAGCCTGAGCATGGGCAATGCCTTTCTGGGCCTCAGCCTCTTCCAGAAGGCTCTGGAGAGCTTCGAGAAGGCGCTTCGCTACGCGCACAACAATGACGATAAGATGCTGGAGTGCCGGGTCTGCTGCAGCCTGGGCAACTTCTACTCCCAAGTCAAGGTTCGTGGTGTCCCGGCCAGGTCAAGACAGGGGCAGGCATTTGGGGCAGAGCCTCAAGGTAGGCTGTGGGCTGAGAGGGCACTGCCCTTAGATGTAGAGTGAATGGGGACTTCCTGGGCAAAGCAAGCCAAGCCATTCTCAGGGCTGCGTCCTTCTGGTTCAGAAGCTGGGGCTGCCTCTGGGAGAAGGCTGTTTACCGGGCAGGGGGCGAAGCTGGCGCTAAACAAAGACCAGGAGGCACCAACTGAGGGTGACTGCTTGATCGACTTGCCCTTCTGAAACATCCCTCCCTCCTTCAAGGCTGCCTTATATTCATTTTACTCTGGTTCTCCCTCCAAAAACAGTGTGGTAGGGAGGGGCACAAAGAATTTGATAGATGCTGCACCTTATACCTTCCTAAAGATGGCCCTGATCTGGGTTGGAAAGGGCAGTGTTAGGCCCAGATAGCCTCTGACTGACAACTGTAAGGGTCCTCCTCCTGCCCTGCCCCTGAGACTTTGGCCAAGCTAGGTTGCCCCTGTTTATTTCCTGTGCCTGCCCCCCTCCGGCTGCAGGACTACGAGAAAGCTCTGTTCTTCCCCTGCAAAGCTGCTGAGCTGGTGAATGACTACGGCAAGGGATGGAGCCTCAAGTACCGTGCCATGAGTCAGTACCACATGGCAGTGGCCTATCGGAAGCTAGGGCACCTGGGCGATTCCATGGAATGCTGTGAGGTGGGGCTGGGACCAGGGGAGGGAGGCTCGGTTTCGATGGGGTCCCCCCTGCCTTGTGCTTTTTGGGTGGGGATGAGGGCGGGCTTTGGGATTGAAGGCCTCTGTGTCACAGGAGTCCATGAAGATTGCCCTCCAGCATGGGGACCGGCCTCTCCAGGCCCTCTGTCTGCTCTGTTTTGCTGACATCCACCGAAGCCGCAGAGACTTGGAGGTAAGATAGCTGAGTCCAGAAGGGCCCTCAGTGGGGAGGGGAGTTGGCTGGAATCAGTGGGAAGGAAAATGGGTCCTGGGATTTGCTGATGGGGGAGGAGTGGACCTGACCCCAACTATCTCCCTGCTCCCTCCTACCCCCCATCCCACAGACAGCCTTCCCTAGGTATGACTCTGCCATGAGCATCATGACGGAGATCGGGAACCGACTGGGGCAGGTGCACGTACTGCTGGGCTTGGCCAAATGCTGGGTGACCAAGAAGGAGCCGGAGAAGGTGAGGGTTGTCGCCTGTTCTCGTACCCTCACCCCAGACCCCTCTCTCTCCTCCTCCTAATAGTGCCTGCCCTGGGATTGGCTTTCCTGTGGCCCAGGCTCACTGTACCCAAAAAGGCAATAGGGGGATCCATACAGGCTCTTCCTTTGAATATTTCTAACATTTTAGGGGTATATAGGCAAGGTATTTTTGCTAGACCTTAAGAATGAAAAAAGGCGAAATGAAAGTCCCCTATTTCTGCCCACAAGGAGTTTATATGGTACAAAGGGCCTACAAAATGTTCCTCCAAATAAATGAAATAGGAGGTAGCGTGTAATGGGAGAAAGAAGAGGTCAGAAGTGCATTAGGAAATATTGAGGCAGGAAAGAACATTTCCGCTAGAAAAATCGGGAAAGGCTTTATGGAAGAGGTTGACTGACCTCTGACCCTTGAATACAGATTCTGAAAAGCAGAATTGAGGAGAGCTTGAACAAAGAAGTGGGCAGCGATGCCACGTCTACCTCAGAACAGCTAGTAGTCCATCCAAGACAGTGCACGGAGGGAAGAAACATTAAATGAGGCTGGCGAGGTGGGCTCCAGATGGTGCAAGTCCTGAAATGCTAGCCTGCAAGCTATCTCATTCCATAAGGAGCCAACCGCTGATGGTTTTTTAATAGAACAGCAACATAGATCTGTGCCTTAGAAGGGTGATTGTGGCAGCTGCATGAAGAATGAATTGAAGTGGGCTGGGACCAGAGGCTGGGAGACCAATTAAAAGAATATTGCTGTAGTCTGAAGGATGAGGAAGTCAGATAGTCGACAAGCATTTGTTATGTGCAGGTATTGGGGATACAAGAAACTCAAAAAACCCTGCTGTCATTGGGCTCACTTTCTAATAGAGGAGACAAGCAAACATGCAGATAACTAGGCACACACGATGGATGTGGAGAGTGTATGTGCAAGGGAGCTTCATCGGGGTAGGCTCTAGCAGGTCAAGGGAGGGAACAAGGCCTCCCTGCTGTACAAGGTGAGATTTGAACTGGATCTTGAAGGAAGCTGGGGAGCTGAAAGGCAGAGGGGAGGAGGGTGGGCATTCTAGGCATGGGGGACAGCCTGTTCAAAGCTGTGCACGTGGGAGACAGGGTCATGTGCAAAGAACAGCAAAACGGGAGGAGAATGCATTAAAAATATTGAAGGTGCTATATTGTGAAGGGCCTTGAGTACCAAAAATGAGTTTCTATTGATCTGGAAGGTACTAGGAGCTGCTGGAGTTTACTGGATAGGGGGTGACATGGTCAGACCTATGATGTTAAAATATCAATATGGCGGCTGTGTGGAGAATGGGTTTGCATTGACAGGTTTGTGGCAAGAAACCAATGAGGACATTAATGCGGCAGTCTCGATAAGAGATAAGAGGGAATGTTAGGAAGGTAAGGATGATTGGATATGAAGGCTGATGGGAAGAAAAGTCAAAGGTGATGCCAAAGTTTCAAGCCTAGTGCTTAGGAGCAGGGTAGTGGCCATCAACAGAAGTAGGCAAGTGAGGAGGGGCAGGCTTCAATAACACACCTTAAGCTGGAATCAGTCTTTGGCAATCATCTCAGCCAATTTGCCTCTTGCATCCCCTCCCCCACCCCTGCCCCTATTTGATCGAGGAGGGCACCAAAGCTCAGAGAGATTGAGATCAGTTAGCAGAGTCGTCCAAACTCACATCCTCCAACAGCCAAAGCAGTGCCCTTTCTGCTATGCAATCCTGTGGAGGGAACAAGGAGGAATAGGTTTCATTGAGTTTTGTACAAGTTGGCTTTGATACGGGAGTGGAACTGTGGAGATACCTCAGGGCTGGAGTTCAAGGAGATTGAACCTATTGATAGATGGGTAGAGAGAAAGAGAGGGAAGGAGACCAATACACATTGGAGAATCATCTGTAGATGAGTAATATCGGAACTCGGGAGAATCAGTGAGATCACTAAGAGAAAGAATAGACAGGGGTCCAAAACAGACTCTGAAGATTCTCATGGTTAAGGGGGATGTTATAGAAGAGTCAGGGAAGATGAGAGCTGAGAAAAAGCTACGGGAATTAAGATATTGGTGGGAAGAGAGCTGCTCGACGCATATTTCATTTTCTCTGCCAAAGAAAATTACTTTTTGGTTTGAAAAGAAAGAACAAAAATGGCCCATGTAGAGGTGAGACCTAAGATAAAGAGCTAATAGCTGACTTTGGTGACTGCAGCTCCCCTCACCCAAAGGAGTCACCCCCTCAGGCACTGGAGTCCCATCAGTGACCAGTTGGAGCTATCCAGAGGCAGAATGTCTAGGCTATGTCTGGAGTCACTGGACTCCCCGTTACTAAAAGCCTTCTAATGGAGGAGCCAGATGACAGCCTGGGTGGGGGGTGTGGTGTTGAGGACGGATTCTCAAGCAGGTGGCCACAGAAATCCCTTCCCACTTTGAAGTTTTGACCTTTAGCCCGGGCTCACATCTCTTTTCTTTGAACCTCTGCTCAGGCTTTAGATATCATTGAAAAGGCCCAGGATCTGGCCGAGGGACTGGGGAACAAGGTAAGACTGGTTCCTTCCCTCTGATCTAGAACCCTTCCAGCTCCTTCAGAATCAACACCAGAGCCGAGTTAGAATGGGGAGCATAGGACATTAGTGCCAGCAGTAACCTTAGCCCGGCTTAGCACCCTCAACATTTTAAGATGAGGGGAGCGCAGGACGCAGACGAGGAGGGGAGTTTGGGAGGGGGTGGAGGGTCTCCCCCTCTGTCAGCCTGTTAAGCAGCAGACCCCCTCTGGTGAGACCCTAGTCCCCTAGCCGCTGCACCCTGTACAGCGTTGCTGGATAACTCTAAAGGCGGAGTGGGGCGCTGCTGACAGCTGTTATAATCCATCACCCCAGAGGTTGAGGGAAGCTCCTGAGTGGTCCCCATATCGATCTGGTCTCCTTTCCTCCGCCCCTCTCCTCTCCATGTCCAGCTCAGTCAGCTCAAACTCCACTGCCTGAGCGAAGGCATCTATCGCAGCAAGGGACAGCAGCGGGAGCTCCGGGCTCACGTCGTGCGCTTCCATGAGTGTGTAGAGGAGACCGAACTCTACTGTGGGCTCTGTGGGGAGTCCATCGGGGAGAGGAACAGCCGGCTGCAGGCCCTGCCTTGCTCCCACTTCTTCCACCTCAGGTAAAAGGCTGGAGGAGGTCGCCAAGTGGCGCTGATGGAGCATCTGCACCCAGTGGCTAGGACCAATAGAGAGCATGGCGCTGCCTGTGCCAGACGGAGCTCTCAGGACCAGGCAGGGGCACATCTCTGCTGAGGCATCCTCAGGGAATGCGTTTTCTGGTGCCTGGGCTGGCTGGCACCCACAGCCAAGGGGGGCAGTGCCTGAATGCAGATGCCTCGCCTTGGCATTGGCCTGGTTCTTGTGTTTCTGCACTTCCAGGAGGCTACTCTTTGTAGACCCCCAGGTCCCTTGGGCCCTAGTCCCCACCTTGACTTCTTCAGCCTTCCCTTCACCCACTGCTCTTCCTGAACACCGACTGAGGCCCTGTTCTGTGTAGGGTGCTATGGGGGATCACAAAGGTATACAGAAACGGTCCCGGCCTTCCAGGAGTCTAGAAGCATGTAGATCATCATAGACAAGATAGTGTTTTTAAAGGGGCAGCTGTGGGAGGGCTCTGGGCAGTGGCCAGGACAGCATTTCAGAGGGGGAACTGGTTCCAGCTGAAGGATCAGGGAGGGCCTTACCATATGACCCCAGAGCCCCAAGCCAACCAGACCATAGTGTCCTCTGGTGGGGGGATTAAGGTTTGTGTTGGATGAGAATGGGCCCCTGGGGAGGGGCAGTGGAAGGGGAAGGTCATGAAGTTCAGGGGTGACAGTGTGTGATTGGGGGCAGGGGAGCAGCCAGGCCATGAGAAATCCTCTTTGCCACCCTCAAGGTGCTTACAGAACAATGGCACCCGGAGCTGCCCCAACTGCCGCCGCTCCTCCATGAAGCCGGGCTTTGTGTGACGGTGGGACTGAAGCTCTGTTACAAGCCTGGAGGTGGCGTGAGGGAGAACTGCTCCAAACCAGACTCTGGACACAAAGGGGGCCTTCCTCCTTCCCTCTTCCTCCCCTGTCACGGCCGGGCCTCTCGCATCTGCCTGGGTGTGCTGAAGTCCTGGACCTGCCAAGGATTTCCTTGCCCAGTGGGACCTCACCATCACTAATTAGCCTATCTAGAGCTTTCCTTATCTGAACTGTGCCAAAGCCACGTTGCCATCGGTTTTTTTCCCCTTGAATTCCACATGTTAGCTTTGTTTTAGAAGGGGCCCAGCGAAGTCCAGCTTCATTGTCCATATTATCCCCACCCCACACACACCCCTGCCCCTTACACTGTCCTCCAGCATTCCTGGCTGCCATGTTTCTGTCCTTGACTTAACCCCACATTTGTTCCCTTTTCCCTGTATTACCCCACTTCTGCCCAATTTCACCCTTCAAGTCCCTTGAACTCAGTCCAATCTATAGGGAAAGTTAGCATTCTGGAGGCCAGATTCCTGTCTGTGGTGGTAGCAGTAACTGGGGTTATCCCACCCCTTTCCTGGCTTGGGGACTGCCTTACAGCCCTTCCCCTGGCTCTCATACTCAACCCTGGGATTGGGTGCCTGACTTCCCCCACAAGAGGATACAACTACTTGGGATTCTTTTCTTTGTCAGGCCTGCCTAGGCTTGGGACACCCCCCCCCCCCCATCCCCGCTGCTACCCAGAGGATTCCAGCCAGCCCCTGATGCCACCCTCCACTTGTTTGTATTCTGATCTTTGTAGAAAAATAAAAAATAAATCATTTCTGTCCAGCTCAGAGTAAATCTAACATATCTGTTATAGAAAAGTTTAAGTCAGTCATTTCTACCCAGGTCTGACTAAATCTAACATCCTATGACCAAGACATATGGGTGGGTTATGCTGAAAGTTATGTATTGATGAGGTTGGTTTGTGAACCTGTCCCAAAATATTCATTCAGCAAACATTATGCATCTACCGTGTGCAAAGCAATTTGCTAGATGTTGACAAAAATACAAAGTGTAGATAAAACTGGTCCCTGACTTTGAGAAGTATATACTATAGTAGGGAGATGACACACTGATTAGAATATTAAATATTACATAATATAAGAAAGATCTCAGTGTAGGAAAGTAGTAAGCATGTATTAAGCACCTACTATGTGCCAGGCACTCCTAGTGTGGAAACGCCTTCTAAGGCAGTCTGTTGACGACCCAAATAAATCTCAGGAAGTTACCTGAGAGGCACATAAAGGTTAAGTAGCTTGCTTAGGCTCACACAGGTACTGTCAGAGGCAGGTTCTAAAAACCAGGTCTTACTGACTCAGTCCAGCATTCTATCTATCCTATTCTATTACCTCTCATATCTATTTTATCTGTTCTAATACCTCTGTATTCCATGTGAAGTTTACCAAAAAAAGAATTACAAAAAGAATGGCTCTGCGAGGTTCGGGGTGGTGGTAGGGAATTATTATAATAGCTAGCTAGCATCTATATAGCACTTCAAGGTTTGCCAAATACCTTACAAATGTATCATTTTATCTTCTCAACAGCCCTGAGAAGTAGCTGCTATTATTAACCCCATTTTACAGATGGGGATAGGGAAACTGAGGTAGACAGGTTAAGTGAGCTGCTGAGGTCATACAGGTAGGTAGTGTCTGAGACTGGACTTGAACTCAGGTCTTCCTGATACCAAGTCCAGCACTCCATCCTCTATACAACCTAACTGGCCTTTGAGTTTTATTAGAGATTAAAAATTAGCCCTAGAACTGTGCCCAAAGGGCAATCAGCTGTGCAGACCCTTTGACCCAGCAATACCACTACTAGGTCTGTATCCCAAAGAGATCATAAAAACTAGAAGAGGACCCACATGTACTAAAATATTAATAGCTCTTTTTGTGGTAGCCAAGAATAGGAAATTGAGGGGATGCCTATCAATTGGGGAATGGCTAAACAGGTCATAGTATATGAATGTAATGGAATACTGTTGTGCTATAAGAAAAGATGAGGGGCAGCTAGGTGGTGCGATGGATAGAGCAACCACCCTGGAGTCAGGAGAACCTGAGTTCAAATCCAGCCTCAGACACATAACACTTAGTAGCTGTGTGATCCTGGGCAAGTCAACCCCATTGCCTAGCCAAAAAAAAAAGAAAGAAATGATGAGTGGGAGTGATGAGGTCAAGAGGTTTAGGGGTGCTGGGACCCGACATCACAACACGCGGGTCCTCCCCAAGAGAATTCGACCCAAGCCTTCTTTCAGCCAAAGATAAGGTTTATTAAACATCCGCCAAACTAGCCAAACTCTTAGGAATCTGAGAGTCTAAGGTATTGGCTAGATTCTAAGAACCTGAGCATGTGGCTAGATTTTAAGAATCTAATCACCTGAATGGAGACAAGATGGACCTTATATACAGAAAGACTATGGGAGGGATCTAGGAGTGGCCAAGCAGTCTGTGACATAGTAGAACTCCAGGGGTGGCCCAGGGAGAATGGATTAAGGGTAGAAAGTGGCCTGGGACCTTGGGGAGGTAAGACAACGGAGGGCTAGGCTAAATGAAGGATAACAGAATTGGGAGATTGGGTGTAGCCACAATGAAAGGCCAGTTGATTATAGCCTCAGGTGAACAACAGAGATTTGGCCATGTGGGAAAGTCCAGGGTTCTTCCTTTTCGGGGTTTAGATCCCATCCTCATCAGGAGGACTTCAGAAAAACCTGGGAAGACTTATATGGACTGATGGTGAGTGAAGTGACCAGAACCAGGAGAATGTTGTAACAACCATGTTGTTCGATGACTAACTTTGATAGACTTAGCCCTTCTCAGCAATGCAAGGATCTAAGACATCTCCAAGGGACTCATGATGGAAAATGCCATCCACATCCAGAGATAGAACTATGGAGTCTGAATGCAGATCGGAAGATACGATTAGCTAATTTTTTTCTTCTGTTTTATTTTGTTTTCTCTTTCTTGTGGTTCCTCCTATTGGTTCTAATTCTTCTTTACAACATGACTAATGTGAAAATATGTTTAATAGGAATGTATATGTAGGGCCTATATCAGATTGTGCGCTGGCTTGGGGAGGGAGGTGGGGGGGGAGGGAGAGAAAATTTAAAACTCAAAAACTTATGGAAGTGATTGTTGATAAATCAAAATAAATTAATTTAAAAAATGATGAGCAGGCAGACTTCAGAAAAACCTGAAAAGACATACATGAATTGATGCCCAGTGAAGTGAGCAGGACCAGAACACTGTATGATAATCAACTGTGAATGATTTCACTATTCTCAGCAATGTTCCAAGACAATTCCCAAATGAAAAATGCCATCCACATCCAGAGAAAGAACTATGGGTTCTGAATGCAGATCAAAGCATACTATTTTCACCTTTTTTCATTATATTTTCCTTTTACAAACTAATTTTTTTTTGCAAACTGTTTCTTCTTTTATAAGATGACTAATATGGAAGTAGGTTTTGCATGATTGCACATATATAACCTGTTTCAAAGTGTTTCCTGTCTTAGAGAGACAGGGAGGGGAGGGAGACAGAAAACTTGGAACTCAAAATTTTATAAAAAAGACCAGCCCGGGATAGAAACCTGTTTGCATTCTCCTTGAGAAGTGCTCGCGCCCATCTCTTGTCAATGTCAGGGAATGATAAGGGAACAGGCCTCAAGAAAAATGCAATAGCTCATTGTCTGTTCAATGATAGGAGAGTATGAGAGAGCCCTTTGCAGAGCCTGTGAAAAGCCAGGCCCAGAGCTCTGCACCTCACCCTCCCACCCCTATCTAAGCTGGTACCAAGGCCCATGCATCTCACCTCTGCAGCATCTCTCCTCTGACACCCTTCCCTACTCCACAGAGCCTTATGCCCTCAAGCTTGGACTACCACAATTGTTGCTGGTGGCTCTGCCTGCCTCAGGTCTCTCCCTGCTCCAATCCATCCTCCATTTAGCTGTCAAAGGGATTTCCCTCAAGTGTGGGTCAGATCACATCACCACCTTCCTCAATAAATTCCAGTGGCTCCCTGACTCCTCCAGGATCAAACACCAAATGCTCTGTTTGGCATTTGAAGCCCCTCACAGCCTAGACCCCTCCTCCCTATCCAGTCTTCTTGCATCTTCCCCTGGCCTCCTGGCTGCTGCTGCTTCATTTCTCAGCTCTCCCCCCTCATCTTCACCTAATGGCTTCCTTTAATCCTAAGGAAAATCTCATCTTTTACAGGAAGCCTTTGCCAAACACTCTTCACTCTAATGCCTTTGCTGTCTTAATGCTTTCCTATTTATCCTGCAAGAAGCTTGCTTTGTCTAGTTGTTTGCTTGTTGTCTGTCTGAATGGAAGCTCCTTGGGGGCAGGAACTAGCTTTTGCCTCTTCTTGTATCCTCAAGTTTACATGGCATACAATAGGTGCTTAATGTTTGTTGCTTCTACAACCCCCGAATATAGCTTGCTTTGTACATGCTGTATGTTTGCTTGATGCTTCCCCCATCTGACTGGGTGCTCCTCTAGGGCAGGGACTGTTCTTGCCTCCCTCTGTGTGCCCAGCCCTTGGCACAGTTCCTGGTATACATTAGGCGCTTAATCAATGTTTACTTAGTGACTGGTGCATCCTGCCGTGCGTGCACGCCGTGCCATCCCTTGGTCTGGGCAGCTCCAGAACCTACTGCGGCTCCTTAGGGAGGATGCGGACTCAGGAGGGCCTTGGTTCCACCCCGGGCTTCCCTGTGCCTCAGTTTCCACATCTGTGAAATGGGAACGATGGCCCTTGGTTCCGGAGGCCCGCGCTCGCCCACCAGAGGTAGGTGCCTGGCAAGCCACGGAGGGGCAGCACCGAATCGTGGCCTTTGTGTTTTCTGGTCAGGCTCCACCTCCTCCAGACAGCCTTCCTGGACTGCTCCAGCCCGCCTCCTTGAGGGCCTGCCCCCTAGCGCTTCTCGAGAACTACGAATCCCGACAGGCCGCGAGGCAGCGTAGCCGGTTCCGACCCTGACGCGCCGCCGGCGGAACCAATGACTGTCGTGATCCCGCCCCTTCCCGGAAGCACGAACGGGACGAAGGTGGGAGCAGCGCCACGTGACCAGCGGCCCGCTCCCTCGGTTTCCTTTTTCGCAGCTCCCAAACGGCTCCGCAGATTCGCCGGAGCCGTCTGCCCGGAGCGTCGGCTTATTGAAGCAGGCCGCCCATGCTGCCCGGGCCGCGGGACAGGAGGCCGGGTTAGGCGGCGCTGGTCGGTGCGCGGTTCTGGGTATTTATCCTCGCCCCACGGAATCCCGCGGCCGAGTGTCGAATGTGCGGCCGGAAGTGCGGGCCCAGTGACTCGGCAGGAGAAGATGGCGTCCGTGTGGGACGAGGCCGAGGTGAGCGGCGGCGGCGCCGGCGAGGCCGGCCGGGGCGGGCAGGAGAGGGGCGGCGGGGGGCGAGGCCGGGCCCGTGGACGGCGACGGGTGCTGTGGGGCTGGGCGGAGGCCGGGGGGACTGACTGTACCAGCGGCCGGTGCGGAGCGTGGGGAGAGCTGGGTCTGGCGGGGAGCGGGCATTGAGTAAGTGCCTGCTGTTTGCGGGGCCGGGGACCAGAGCGAGGCCAAGGTGGGAGGGCGCCCTGGCTTCGAGCGGCTTCCCTTCCCTTGGGGCCTCCGTAGAGGGTCCGTATGAGGCAGCTCGGGATGGGCGGGGTGGGGGTGGGGAGGCCCCCCGCCGAGGGTCCGAGGGCTGTCCAGAAGAGAGGCAGGGGTGGCGTGCACTCCAGGCGGGGGGCACGGCCAGTGCAAAGGCACCGAGCGTGGAGATGGGCTGTCATAGGGAAGGAAGAAGGCCAGTTTGGCTGGATCATAGAGTGTGGGAGGCAGCTGGAGAGACGGGGTGCAGCTGGGCTTTAAAAGCTAAATACAGGAGCTGAAGTTTTATTCTGGACGCGATAGGGAGGGAGCCACCGGAGATGCTTGAGGAGGGGAGTGACTGGGTCACGTGTGCATTTAAGTGTGGAGGATGCACAGGAAGGGGAGAGACTTGGCAGGAGCACCATCTCGGAGTCAGCTGCAGTGGCTAGATCGTTGGGCCTGGAGGGAGGAACACCTGAGTTCAAATCTGACCTGTGTGACCCTGGGCAAGTCACTTAACCTCTGTTTGCCCTAATACGCTGGAGAAGGAAATGGCAAACCATTCCAGTGTCTTTGCCAAGACATCCCATGTGGAGTCACAAAGAGTCAGACAGTACTAAAAAACAACAAAAAATGAGCATTTTGGCGATGCAGGACTGGCCTCTAAGAGAGCTTAGGGCTGGGTAAAGTAAAGGAGGTTGGGAGAGAATAAGCCTTTATTGAATGCCTCCTATGTGCCAGGCACTGGGCTAAGTGCTTTATTAATATTATATCATTTGCTGGATCTGGGAGTATCTTCCTAGAGAGAATTAAGCCATTGGAAACAGATGAGGTTAACCAGGGAGAGTGTGGAGAGAAGAGGATAGAACTTTGGGGAAGACCCACAGGCAGGGCTCATTGGATGGATCCAGCAAAGGAGAGAGGAGGACGAGGGTCCAGTGGTGTCATGAATAGCCAGGAAGGAGAATAACTGGGAGTGTCAGGTGCGGACTGTGCAAAGTATGAGGACTGACAAAGACCATCAGATCTGGAGATTACCAGGTGCTTGGTAACTTCAGAGAAAGCAGTTCCAGATGGGTGATGAAAGGGAGGAGAGATACAGGGTAGTATCCCCTTGAAGGGATGGTGGGGTCTAGTGAAGGTTGTTTAAGGATGGGGAAAGACTTAGTCGTATTTGAAGACAGGGCAAGAACCAGTATGTAGTTGTTCAGTTGTGTCTGACTCTTCGTGATCTCATTTGGGGTTTTCTTGGCAAAGATACTGGAGTGGTTTGCCGTTTGCTTCTCCAGCTCGTATTACAGGTGAGGGTTGAGTGACTTGTCCAGGTTCACACAGCTAATAAGTGTGTGATGCCGGATTTGAACTCGTGAAGATGAGTCATCTGGACTCTATCCACTGTGCCACATAGCTGCCCAGTAGATAGAGGGAGTTTGAAAATGGGGAGGTAATGCTTGAGGGCAATAGGGATTTGGAGCCAGTGGACCAGGCTCAGGTCCTGGCTCTGACAGCTAGTATGAGAGTCCTTGGGTAAGTCCTTCTCTGGACCTCACTTTTCCTATCCATAAAATGTGGAGAATGAACTGTTACCTCTAAGATTCCTTCCAGCCCTCCTATTCTATAAGACTCCATAGTCAGGTGAGAGATACTGTTCCTTTCCAGCAAGGCAGTTGTGGGAATTGACTTGTTAAGCCCAGACGTTTAGAGGGTGAAACATTGTCAATAGGAAAGAGATCCTGTGGTAGTTGGAAAGCCCAGAATCGACTGCAAGGAGAACTCCAGGCTCACTGCATAGTACCGTGTCTGTCAGCCTTTCTTAGAGCAGGAGTTCTTAGCTTTTGTCCTAGATCCCTTTTGGCAGGTTAGCGAAGCCTGTGGACCCCATTGGCATAAATGCATGATGCAAATGCGTAGGATTGTCCGAAAAAGCAATTTTATGGTAGTCATCAGAATACTTTTTCTTACGTTTGTGGACCCCGGGTTAAGAACTTCTGAACTCGATGGTCTCTAACATCCCTTCCAGTTCTCACATTCAGATTACTAAGTGCCCTCTTAGCTCTGATGTTCCGTGAACCTAGATTGTAAAAATAAATCTGTTAGAAATGCGGAAGGTAATGAAGGTTGATTTCGCAAAGAATGGAGGCTCTGGGATGTTATAGAGAACACTAGAAAGTCAAGTAAAAAACTTGTTGGAACAGCGAACAACTTTAGCAAAGTTATAGGATGTAAAATAAGCCCGTACAAATCATCAGCATTTCTATATATTACCAACAAAACCCTGAAAGAAGAGATAGAGAAATTTGATTTAAGATAACTGCAGACAGTCTAAAATACTTGGGAGTCTACTGCCAAGACACACACAGCAACTTTGTGAACACTCTTCACACAAATAAAGGCAGATCTAAATAATTGGAGAAATATTAATTTTTCATGGATAACTTACTTATTCCCTTGCCATACCAATCAGACTACCAAGGAATTACTTTATTCATCTGGAGGAACGAAAGGACAAGACCGTCAAGGGGATCAGTGAAAAAAGGGGAGGAAGGAGACCTAGTGGTGCTAGATCGAAAACTCTCTTACCCAGTGGTCGTCATCAGAGCAGTCTGGTCCTGGATGAGATCAGTGCGATGGATTAGGTACGCACGTCCGTGCAGAAGCAAATGAGCACAGTAGCCTAGTGCTTGAAAAACCCAGAGATCCCAGCTATTGGTACAAGAACTCATGATTTGACAAAAACTACTGGGAAAACTGGAAATCTCACACCAGAGACCAAGATAAGCTTAAAATGGATACAAGATTGAAACATAAAGGGCAATATCATATGCAGAGTCGTGGAACATGGAAGAAATTACTTTTCAGGTTTATGGGTAGGGAAAAAGTTTATGACCAACCAAGACGTAGAGAGGGTCACAGGAGGTAAAATGGATGATTGCAATTAAAAAGTTTTTGCATAAACAAATCCAGTGGAACCAAAATTAAAAGAAAATGAATAGAAAAATGAGGGAAAATAAAATGAGTTTCTCTGATAAAGATTTCATTTCTGATACATAGAGAACCAAGTTAAATTCATCACAATAGGAGTCATTCCCCAACTGATAAATGGCCAAGGATATGAACAGAGTTAGAAATCAAAGCTATCAACAGTCATGAAAAAAGCTCTAGAGAAATGCAAATTAAAATGATTCTGAGGTACCACCTCACAACTGTCAGATTGACTGCATGACAAAAATGGAAAATGACATACTGGAGGGGATGTGGAAAAGCAGGGACACAAATGCCCTATTGATGGAGCTGTCAACCAGTGCAGCCATTCTGGAGAACAATTTGGAATATGCCCAAATGTCTATAAAACTGTGCGTACCTTTTGACCCAGTAATATGGCTACTAGGCCTCTGCCTCAAAGAGATCAAAGAGAAAGGACCCACATGTACAAAAATATTTATAACAGCTCCTTTTGTGGTGGCAAAGAATTGGAAACTGAGGGGATGCCCATCATTTGGGGAATGGCTGAGTAAGTTGTGGTGTATGATTGTGATGGAATACTATTGTGCTGTAGGAAATGATGAGCAGGATGATGTCAGAAACACGTGTGAACTAATGCAGAGTGAAGTGAGCAGAACCAGGACAACAGTGTACTCGGAAAGGCAGTATTGTAAAGATAATCAGCTGGGAAAGACTTCATAATTCTGATCAATGCACAGCTCCGAAGGACTGTCCACTTGCAGACAGAGAACTGATGGACTCAGAGTACAGATTCAAGCATTTTTTTTCTTTATTTTTTGCGCTTTCTTCCCCCCAATTTCAGAATATGGCTAATGTGGAAATATATTTGCATGACTTCATATGTATAGTGGGTGTTGTATTTCCTGCCTCCTCAATGGATGGGGGAGAGGCTGGAGGGAGGGAGAGAATTTGAAACTGCAAATAAAAAGAATGGAGTCTTTGTAGTGGGAACACACAGGAATAGTATCCAAGAGGTCTGGATCTGCCATTCAGTGCCTGTTAATCTCTGGGAATCATTTTTCTCATCTCTAAAATATTGGACTAAGTGATCCCCAAGATTTTTTCTAGCTCTAAATCTCAAGGTCTTGTGGTTTCTTTACAGCAAGATGGAATTGGAGAGGAAGTGCTCAAAATGTCCACAGAGGAGATTATTCAGCGGACTCGTCTGTTGGACAGTGAGATCAAGGTAAGGGGTGTCCTTTTGGTTTCTATCCAAAGAGGTGCTTAGAATACTATTATACTAATAATAGCTACAGTAGCACTTTAAAGTTTGCAAAGCCTTTACAAATATCTCGTTTTATCCTCATGACAACCTTGGGAGGTAGATGCTGTTGCTGTCCCCATTTTACAGTTGAGGAAACTGAGGCAAACAAGTGACTGGCCCAGGGTCACACAGCTAGTAAGTGTCAGGCTGGATTTGAACTCAGGTCTTCCTGACTCCCAGGTGCAGCGCTCTAACCAGTATGCCACCAGCTGCCTCCTCTTTGGAGAATCCTTTCCCTGCCCCAGCACAGATTCAGTTGAAGTAACTAATTGAGCACCTACTATGTACAAGGCACTGCAGTCAGCCTTGTATGAAAAATGAAAGATTCCTTCCCCTCCAATAGTTTCTAGTTCAGTACGAGTGATCTTATATCTATGTATGAGGGCCATACAAGGTGGAGTGTGCTGGAGCCATGGAGAGATACAAACCGGGCAGTCTGGGAAATTTGAGGAGGGAGAGATCCCTTCAAGGGAGGGACCTGGGGGTGGGGGGAGGGAGTGGCTGCTCCTGAGCTCGGCCTTAACGTGAAAGGAGAGATTTTCACAGGCTGTAGAAGTGAGCACCTTTGTGAGTGAATGTAGGCAGAAAGTAACCTGTTTCCTTTGGGGAACAGCAAGCGGTCCAGTTTGGCTGGAACCTAGAGGAGGAAATAGAGTGTAAAAGGAGGCTTGTGGAGAACCTTGAATCTTAGGCTCAGGCATTTAGATTTTTTTCACACCAGAGGTTTGTTGGACTTTCCCAGGGCTTCCTGAGCATAAGTGAGTGGAGTATCAAAGGCCCAGGGATGATGTTTTCTCCCCTTCTTCCTCTCTCTCCTCCCCGTCTCCTGAGAGGCATTTTTTTATCCTTTCACATTGAAAGTGTGTGGGTTGTGCTGGGCTTTGCACAGCACAGATGTCGGCTCAAACTGTCTCCTTGAGGCAGAGGAGGAGAGGAGCGGAGCAGGTTCACTCTTCTTCCTGAAGATGAGCAGTTTAAGGCTAGTGGGTTTGAGTGGATCGCATAGCCCCCCCGGCCTAGGCCGGGGAGGCCTGTCCCTGAGCTGGACTACGTGTGCCTTTGTCCTAGATCATGAAAAGTGAAGTGTTACGCGTGACCCACGAACTGCAGGCCATGAAAGACAAGATCAAAGAGAACAGTGAAAAGATTAAAGTGAACAAGACCCTGCCCTACCTTGTCTCCAACGTCATCGAGGTGTGTGTGTGCGGGGGAGGGAAGAACCAGCAGCAGCCGGGGCTTGGGGGCCACAGGGCGGCAGGTTCACATTGGGAAGAGGCTTCTCTTGCTCCCCCTCTTCAAAGGGAAGATGGAATCTGTTAGAAGTTTATGTCTTTAAGTACTTTGAGATCTCGAGGCCCTCCTTGTAAGTGATTATTAGAGTTAGATGCAGCCTCCCTCTAATGCTCATCAGCTTATTAGCATCCAGGTGATTGTGACCTTAATACTTTACATAATAAAGAAGTGGGGCTTTCCTGCTCTGTAATAGCTAGGAATGATCTTAGGGCCCAAGAAATACTGGAATGGCTCCTGCTGTGAGAGGTCTGACCAAGTTTCCTCTTCCCAGCTGCTAGATGTTGACCCCAATGACCAAGAAGAAGATGGTGCAAACATTGACCTTGACTCCCAGAGAAAGGGCAAATGTGCTGTGATCAAAACCTCCACCCGACAGGTGAGAGCCAAGGACCCTGACTCCGTAGTTGGCCTGAGCAGGAGCACTGGTTGGGAACTGTTGGATCAGGCTGCTGAAAAACTCTTTTCCCCCTCTTCCCCATTCGTAGACCTATTTCCTGCCAGTGATTGGTTTGGTGGATGCAGAGAAGTTGAAACCTGGAGACCTGGTGGTGAGTGACCTTTGACTCCTAGGGAGAGCTCGCTCCTGTCTGGTCTTTGTAGCACGGCCCCTCGGGTCCCATGGAACCCAGCCCTGGCCATTTCTGGCTTACCTGGCAATCATTGTCTCAGACCTTTTTAGAGCGTGCCTCGGGGCCTTCTTCTGGAGAGAAGGCCCGCTGCTTGGGCCTCGCGTGGCTTTTGCCATAGTCATCATCTAGCCCGTTGTTCTTGGCACTGGGAAAAGCTAAGTGTCCAGTACTTTGTCCTCAGGGAGTAAATAAAGACTCCTACCTGATCCTGGAGACCCTGCCCACTGAGTATGATTCCCGAGTGAAGGCCATGGAGGTGGATGAGAGGCCCACAGAGCAGTACAGTGACATTGGAGGACTGGACAAGCAGATCCAGGAGGTGCGTGTGACTGAGACTCCAGGGGCAGCCGCCCCCTGCACAGGAGAAAGCCTTATAATCAGTATCCCATTGAGGCAGGACTTCCTTCTGGGGGGAGCCCCTGGAGCTATTCCCCCATTTTACAGATAAGGAAATTGCAACCCAGAGAAGTTGGTGGAGTTGCCTAAGGTTCCTAAACAGCCAGGATTAGAACTCAGATTCCTTATTCCAGAAGGGCCACAGCTGGTAATTCTCTGAAACCCAGAAAGAGAAATACAGGCCTTGGTTGAATGTATAATAGTTAGAGACTGAAGTGTGAAGGGGAGGAGCCCAGGGGCCCTCTTAGTTACTTTGTCCTTTCTTTGAGCAGCTCGTAGAGGCTATTGTATTGCCAATGAACCATAAAGAGAAATTTGAGAATTTGGGGATCCAGCCTCCAAAGGGAGTATTGATGTATGGACCCCCAGGTACTGGAAAGACCCTGCTAGCCCGAGCATGTGCCGCCCAGACCAAGGTGAGTGTCTTGGCCAGACCCACAACCTGTGCACTCCTTTTAAGGGACTCGTTAGGGGCCGGGAGCCGGGGCAAGGCAGTGGATGGGAATCCAAGTCATGCACAGACCTGGGAGAGCAGAATCACTTTCTCCTTGGTTCTACCTCTGCTCCATGTAGGCCACCTTTCTGAAATTGGCTGGACCCCAGCTGGTCCAGATGTTCATCGGGGATGGAGCAAAGCTCGTCCGAGATGCCTTTGCATTGGCCAAAGAGAAAGCTCCCTCCATTATCTTCATTGATGAACTGGATGCCATCGGAACCAAGCGGTAAGGCCTTAACCTTGGTCTTGACTCGAGTTGGCTTGGGGGAACAGCAACAGAGGACTCCATGGAGGGGGGCCCGGACAGGCAGTGTGGGGTGCGCAGCCTGCCCATCCAGAGCAGAGGCCCAAGCAGCCCAGAGGAACCTGCCACAGGATTGCGGCTGCCTTCTGCTCTGGCGGAGAGAGGATTGGGGATGACTGAGGAGACCAATGGGGTGCCTCTGGGCAGGGGAAGATCGCTGTGATAAGAGCTAACATTTATGCAGCACCTACTGTGTGCCAGGCTAAGCCTTTCACAGTGACTCTCACTGGCCAAGAACTCTGTCGGTCAGGAGCCCTTTACCGGCTCTGTCTGTGGTTTCTCCCCATCCCCAGCTTTGACAGTGAGAAAGCAGGGGATCGAGAAGTTCAGAGGACGATGCTGGAACTCCTGAACCAGCTGGATGGATTTCAGCCTAACACCCAGGTCAAGGTAATAGGCCATCTTGAAGAAGCCAGGGCTCTTGGGGTTCCTGTGGCTTACCCATGAAGGGTGGCTGTTGGGGTGGGCGGGCCGCCGGTGGTCCAACGCCATCTGCTGAGTCTTGGACTCCAACATTTCCTGCAAGAGAGGAATGGCCAGGAGGAGGCCTGAGCTTCGAGAAGGGCCCGTGGCCTGGCTGGGCTCCGTGATGTATTTGAGTCTGCTCTCCCCAGGTGATTGCTGCTACAAACAGGGTGGACATCCTGGACCCTGCCTTGCTGCGCTCTGGTCGTCTGGACCGCAAGATTGAGTTCCCCATGCCCAACGAGGAAGCCAGAGCCAGGATCATGCAGATCCATTCCCGAAAGATGAACGTGAGGTGAGGGGTGATTGAGAGAGCTCTGGCGAGGTGACGGAGGTCTTCCGCAGGGTCCTTCTACCTACCTAGTGCTTCCTGAAGCCCACCCAGCTCCTTTCATGTGCGTCCTTCGCAGGCCCTGGCTGTGCTGAGAGGCCAGCAGAGCCCTGGGGCACCTTCACACTGGGCCAGAGCCCAGGGAAGGGGACGCTCTTCTGGCCCAATCTGGGGCAGGCTGATTCCAGGGTCTGGCATCACTGCCTTGTTGGTGCTGGAAGTCCAAGCTCCCTGGGCTGAGTGGCTCATCACCTGCCTTCCCCCTCCTTCCGCAGCCCCGATGTGAACTACGAAGAGCTGGCTCGCTGCACTGACGACTTCAATGGGGCCCAGTGCAAAGCTGTGTGCGTGGAAGCGGTGAGTGTGCTGGGCGCTGAGCTGAGGGAGGGGGCCTGGCTGTCCGGGGTCAGGGCAGGCACCGAGAGCTGCACAGGGGGGCCTGGCCTCTGACCCCGTCTCTTGGCTGTAGGGAATGATTGCGCTTCGACGGGGGGCCACTGAACTCACCCATGAAGACTACATGGAGGGCATCCTGGAGGTGCAGGCCAAGAAGAAAGCCAATTTGCAGTACTATGCTTGACAGGGCTGCGGAGCCCGCTGGCCCCACGCCTGGGTCTTACCAGTAAAAGTAGTAACAATAAAGGAGGTTGGGGTTGTTTTCTTGCAATGGGTCTGGTGTGTTGGTTTCGCCCTGGCCCATAGAAAGAAGAGGGAAAGTTGCTTGTGAGGTTGGCACTGCTGCCTTAGAGCTGGGAGAGGCGGCTCTTGGCTCGCTTGCTGTTTGTCTGGGACAAGACTGCCCAGCTGTTGCTGCAATTGTGTGGATTCCTGGGGCTTCCTGCCAGCGGCAGCCACACACGGCTGCTGCCCAAGGCTGCGGGCCTCCAGCCTTTGTGCTGCCCTGTTTCCCTCGCCCAGGCTTACTGAGCTTTAAGATGCAGTCTTTGGGCCCTGGAACAACTCCTTCCCTGTGCGGGGTGCACCTGCCACACGCGAGGGTCAGTGCTTGGCCTTCTCTTGCCCCTACCTGGACCGCTCACATCTGTGCAGATGATGCCCTGCTGAGGCTTTACAGCTTGAGCTCCTGGCTCGGGCCTTCATGCACCTGCTGGGAGGTCAGCAGTCAGGGGAGCGGCAGTGATCTGTGTGTGGGATTCAGCCTGCAGGGATCAGTCCTAGAAATGGGTGCCATGGCGTGCGCACTTGTCCCCTCCCCTCGATCCTCTCCTGGCCTCCCTCACTTCATCTGTCCTGGCCAGGGGTTGGCCCTCCTCAGATCTAAGCCAAACCTGTCCTTAATTCCCCACTTCTCCTCAGGGCCTGCACTCCGACGGCTCGTATTTGTACAGGGCGTCCCAAAAGACACCAAGACTTCAGGGATGCCCGTTGTATTACCTCTTCTTCAATGCTGTCCACAACTGTGAGAAATAGCTGCTCTTACCCATTTTATAGATGAGGAAACTTAACTAGAAAGTTAAGTGACTTGCCCAGATCACATTGTTAATATGTATCTGAGGTAGGATTTGAACTCAGGACTTCCTAAGACAGTCATCTTCAGCTTTTTCCCCATCACCAAGTGCTGTCAGTTCTACAGTTAACATTTCTCAGATGATTGTGGTATAGCAGAAAGCTCTAAGCCAGGGGCTCTTCACTGGGGTCCCTGAGCATGTTCTTGGAACATTTGGGTGACTCTGTTTCCACATGATGGGTTTCCTGGATAATCCCATAATGCCTTTTAGACATGATGCTGAGAAAGGTCCGGAGCCTTCCTCAGGCTGCCCTGGCACCTAGGACACAAGGGAGCTCAGCCCCTTTTGCCCTAGTCCAGATGGAAAGAGCAGATTTGGTCACAAACTCTGTAGCCTTTGGAAGTCAGCCTCCTGGAACCCAGACTTCCACGTCTGTTAACAGGACTGATCTATGCCCTCTAGAACCGCCTTATCATCGGAGAGCTTAGACTGACCTGGGAGGTTGCCTGAGGCCCATCCCCTTATTTTACAGAATTGTAAACTGAGGGCCAGGGAGGGGTGACTTAGGATAAGTATCCATAGAATAAAATAATAACCAGCATTTATTTAGTCCCTACTATGCACCAGGCACAGTGGCTCCCCACAACCCTCGAGGAGGGAAGTGCTTTTTATTATCCGCATTTTACATACAAGGTAACAGGCAGAGCTTATATGACTTGCCCAGGGTCCCTGGCTAGAAAGTGCCTGAAGCTGGATTTGAACTTGGGTCTTCCCGACTCCAGGTCCAGTGCTCTGTGGTCTCTGGTGCCCTGTAGGCTATACAGGATTGAAACCTGCGTGATCTCATTTCAGACGCAGTGCTGTACCCACTGTGACCTGGCAAGAGCCTTGAATTCGCTGTTCCCACTGTATCTTTCACATGGATACTGGAACTAACTTGCTAAGGCATGCCGCCCCCCCTTCCCAGGGACAGGCACATAGGCACCGTAAACCTTTGAAAAGCTCCCAACAAATTCCACACTGGCATTGAAAGCACCCATGGGCTTGGCCTCAGCCTTTCCACTGCTCTCTGACCTTGTACGACATGCCAGCCAGGCAAGTGAGCCTTGAAGCCCAGACCCAGAACAAATACCCAGATTTCTGCCTCCTCTTAATGGTGTCTGTCCCCTTCCTGCCTGTCCTCAAGGTTGAACCCTGCTGCCACCATGGATATCAGTCAGCAAGCATTTATCAAGAACCTACTATGTGCCCAGTGCTGTGCTCGGGCCTGGGGGTGCAAAGACAAAATCTCTATTCTCAGTGAGCATTCGTTGTCCTGAGGGTTTGGGGTGGAGGATTGCTGCGTGGATTACCACAGAGGTGGTGCTTAGGTCCAGGATAAATACAAGGTAGGTAGACAGGCACCAGCAAGTGAGGATGTGGGGAAGGGGCCTTGGGTGGGCGGCAGCACTGGAGCTCAGTTTGGAAGGGAGCCGGGGATTCTGAGAGGCTGAGGGCAGGAGGGGGCCGCTGTTGTGTGGGGGCCTTGAATTCTAGATGAACCCAGCTCCAACCTTGGCAGCCTCAGCTCGGGCAACAGGGCTCCCCCAGGACAATGGCACCTTTGGACAGGCCTCTGGCCTTCTGCTCCCTGTGGTGAACTCTGGGACCTTTTTTGTTTCCCCAACTAGACTGTAAGCTGCTTGTGGGCAAGCAGCTTGTCTTCTGTTATCTTCACCCACCCTCAATAGTAACTTGCACCCAAAACTTAGGTGCCGCACATGAGCTTGGGAGGGTTCACAGACCTGGGGCTCATTTGGCCCAATCTCAGTCATACGTCCCAGAGGTGGAATTACGCAGGTCTCAGAGCAGCGTGGGGCAGCACGTTGCATAGAGCTCTGGGTCTAGGGTCAGGAACACCGGAGTTAAATCCAGCCTCAAGCACTTCCTAGCTGCGTGACCCTGGGCAAGTCACTTAGCCCTGTTTGCCTCAGTTTCCTCATCTGTAAAATGAGTTGGAGAAGGAAATGACAAACCACTCCAGTATCTCTGCCAAGAAAACCCCAAATGGAGTCACAGAGTCAGACACGACTGAAAACCAACTAAACACAGGTCGCGTGGCTAGTTAGCATTAGACCTGGGATCTGAACCTAGGTTTGAGGCAGTGTGGAGGAGTGGACAGTGCACAGGGATATGGAGTCTCAAGACCGCTGGGTGGCTCTGGACCCTTCCTTGATGGGTAACGACTACTATAGATGAAGAAACTGAGGCTCGGGGGCATACCTTCCATTGAACCAAATGTTTCCGCAGCAGCAATGCAAGGCAGGGGTGGCAGCCTATAGAAGGGGTTTGGACCTTGGATCATCCTTTCACTCTTCACTCTCAGCTCAGTTTCCCTGTCTGTAAAAGGAAGGGGTTGGAATGGTTGATTCCCAAGACGCGAGCTCTAAATCCTGTGACCTTCTGTACTGTGACCTGGCATCAACGAGGAAACAGTGGGCCTCCTGCTTTCTGGACTGGACCCCTGCCCCATACAGCCGTGAGGGTGATCGGAAACCATTACCCCTTGCCACCCCCCCCCTTTTTAATAAGGAGCAATTTGTGTGTTAGCTGTAGGATGGAATGGGTAAAGTCCTGCACTTGGAATCAGAAGAGCCTGATTCAGATCCCACTTCATTAGCTTAGTAGTTATGTGCCAGTAGGCAAGTCACTTACCTCACCATGCCTCAGTTTCCCCTCCTGTGAAATGGGAATAACGCCTATCGCACCTACCTCCCTGGATTGTCCTGAGGCTCAAATGAGCCCCCGGGTGTAAAGCAATGCCTGAGTTTTTGGTTATCGAGGTGATTATTATTGGCTTGTTCTGCCTTGGGGGAGGGGAGCTGGGAGATAAACCTCTGGGCATCAGGGGAGAGGTAGGAGCGGGAGGAGGAGGGTCCTTGAATGGAGTCAGGGAGGAGGCAAAGCTTGGAGAGCTGCCAGGGAGACTGTAGCTGATCTGATGATGAAGAGGAGGAAAGCATTTCTATAGTGCTGTAAGGTTTGCCAAATGCTTTGCGAATATCTCTTATCTTCCCAGTCCTTTATTGAGTGTCCCATGAGCCTAGCTCAGTGTTAGGCACTTGGGAATGAGGAGGAAGGAGCAAAAGAATCACAGATCACAGAATCTTGGATTTGAAAAGGTCCGCAGAGGTCAGTCAACTAGTCCAAACCATGCCCAGAAAGGGATGTCCTCTTATCATCCCAGATGAAGACACACACACACAAAATCTGTTTGTCTGTCTGTCTCTCTCCTCTCTTGGAACTCCTTTCCCAAGAGACCTGTCTTAATTTATAATTAAATCCATTTCCATGTAACAACCCTTGAAATTATTAGCAATTAATTCTGGGGGCAGCTAGGTGGCAGAGAAAACCGGCCCTGGAGTCAAGAGGACTTAAGTTCAAATCCAGTCTCAGATACTTGATACTTACTAGCTGTGTGACCCTGGGCAAGTCGATTAACCCCATTGCCTAGCCAAAAAAAAAAAATATATTAATTCTGAACTTAAATACCAAATAAAACAAACATAATCCTAAGTAAAACAGAAAAAAAAGATTTTCCTGAAATCGAAAATCTCTGTTAAGTACAGTCTGCTTTTATAAGAAAACATAAAGCAACATGATAAATGACATGACATGACATACATGTGCAACATGGCATTTTAAACCTATCAATTTTATTGATAGCTTTTGTTTTTATAATACCTAAATTCCTTCTCCCATCTCCTCTAATCCCATATAACAAAGAATTATTTTTAACAAAAAAAAAGAAAAGGAAAATGTCAGCAAAACCGATCAGTTAAATTGTGGAGATGTGACGATATGTGGAACGTTCCACACCCGTGTACCCTTCCTCCCTATGTAAAGAAGTCAGGGAAAATGTCTCAGATCTCCTTCTTTGGGAGTGAAACTTGTTTAGGATTTTACAACGTTAATTTTTTATGGCATTGTCATTGCTCTTTCCATTTCCAGCATCGCAGTTATTATCTGTGTTGTTTTCTTGGCTCTGCTTACATCACTTCCAATTAGTTCGTGTAAGTCTTTTAAAATTTATATTGTTCAGCTAATGAAAATCCTCTCCCTCCTCCCATGGGAAAAAAGAAAGAAAAACAAAGCTCTCATAACAGGTGTGCAGGCAAAGAAAATAAATTCCTGCATTGGCCACGTGTGAAGTGGACGTTTCAGTCTGTGCTCTGTCTGTTCGGGAGGTGGGCAGCATGCTGCTTCCGCGTCCCTCTGGGGTGGTCCCGCTGGACCTTGGGCTCTTCTCAAAATGATTTCTTTTTGCAGGGTTGTTGTTATTGCCTCTAAATGGTCCTGGTTCTGCTCACATCACTGCACCAGTGCATACGGGTCTTCCTACGTTCTTGTGCTCCCATCCCTTTCATCATGTCTTACAGCCCAATAGCATTGCATTGCATTCACCTGCCCTCCCTTGTTCAGCCATTCCCCGACCAGTGGCCAGCCCCATAGCTTCCAATCCTTTGCTAAATAAGATTGGCTGTAAATTTTCTTGCACACGTGGGTCTTTCCCTCCTCCTTTGGTCTCTTTGGAGTATTGACCTGGTAGTGATGTTGCAAGGCCAAAGGGCGTGCTCAGTTTAGTGACTGTTATTGGGTCCCCCATCCCCCATATCTTCTCCAGGTTCAACATCCTCAGTTGCTTCAGCTAGCCCTAATGGATGCCCTCCAGTTCCTGGGACGGCCTGTTCACTCTCTTCAGGATACCTTCGTGTTTGTCAGGTCCCTTCCTGACACGAGCCCCAGAAATCATAGAGGGTGGGGCTTGGAGTCCTAAGCTTAAATCTCCCTATCTCCCCTACTTATCAGATATTTCACCATGGACCAGGGGTGGGGAACCCTCGGCCTTGAGGCCACATGTGGCCCTCTAGGTCTCAAGTGTGGCCCTTTTATTAAGGGGATTTGTTCTGTGAAGTTCGGGTTCCATCAAAGGGCCACACTTGAGGACCTAAGGGGCCACATGTGGCCTGGAGGCAGCAGGTTCCCTATCCATGCCACAGACAAATCACTTAACCTCCATGAGTCTGTTTTCCCATCTGCAAGATGTTTTTAAATGCATAAAAGATGGGATTACAAAGGAAGCCCATTATGTTGAATCAATGACCATGGATCCCAGGTTAGGAAGCCTTGCACTGGAGGTATTCCCCCAGTAATAACTGTGCTCAAGGAGCCGACAGGCTTGGGATGGCTGCAGGCTGAGGGTGGGAGGAATCAGGCCCAGCACCTTTCAGCAGGCCTGCTGAAAGCCACGTGTGGCTCCTCCAGGGCAGGGGCTATATCTCCCTTTTGTCTCGATTTTACCCCAGAGCACTTCAGTGCCTCACACGTTATCCCACTGTGGAGGAGATGCAGTTATTGTCCCCATTTCACAGATGAGGCTGTGAACAGCTAAGGGAGTCCAAGCCCAGTGCTCTATGCCAAGGGCCGCACTGCCCCTTGGTGAAGGTGCCTGAGGACACATGGGGTAAGTGTGGGGAGGCGGAGTCCCCTTTCCTCCCATCATCCCACCCCCACTGGGGGCCAGGGTCCCCAGTGCAGAGGAGACCAATTTCAGGATAAAATAAGATTTATTTGCATCTTATCTATGGAATAGGTAATTTTACAGATTTCTGTTGTAAAACCAAACAGAAGACGTCTCTGCAGCCACTTCTTCGATTGTCCTCTAGGGGGCGACAAGGCTCCAGACCTAAGCCTGAAGCAGGGCCTCTGGCCCAGGCTCCTGGCCCCTGTGGGGGCAGCAAGTACATTCCTGGGTACTGAGCACATCTTCCCGGCATCCTCCCCGCCCTCCTAATGAAGCTACTAGAAGGTCCCGGTCCCCAGCGGGGGGAGGAGCTGGGGAGCCGGGTGGGGACCGGCTCTCTCTCCAGCACTTGGTGCTGAGTAAATACTTCCTTTGGTAGCAGGAGGGGAGAGTCCCCGAGCAGAGCGGGGCCTCCAGCTGAGCAGTAGAGGCAGGAGCCCAGCAAGGCCCCAGCTGCCCCCAGGACCGTCCGTCCCACGTGCTCCTCGGCTCCCAGGCGGAGCAGAGGGGTCAGGGAGGGATGGGCGGGGACTGAGACCATCACTGACTTCGTACCTTCCCGTGGGTATTGGATCATTGGGTCTCCCTTCTCCCTCTGCTTGGGGAACAGGGCAGCTTGAAGATGAGGAGCCCAAGGGGGAGGAAGAAGCCAGGACAGCTCCCCTCATCACTTGGGCCCTGGCATCCTGGCAGAGTCCAGGGCCCCTCCTCCCACTTTCCCCAGTCCTGAGTTCACCTCTGGAACTCTAGGTCCTGGCTGTCCTCTCTATGTCCCCTCCCTAAGGCCCTTCACACACACCCACACACCCTCGCACACACACAGCCGCTGATGCTGCTCCTCAAAGCTTATTTCCCAGAAACCAGCATGACAGCTGGCCGCCAGAGTGGGGACCAGAGGGACAGAAGCACCAGGCTCGGACAATCTGCACACCCAGACAACTCACACACACACACACACACACACACACACACACACACACACGAGGTCACAGGACTAAAAGGAGTCTCTTATTGCTGGAGGGGCTGAGGGTAACCACAGGGATGTCACTCAGCCAGGAGCGAGAAGAGCACCATCATCACAATGCCCGTGAACAGCAACAGCACCTGCTGTAAGGAATTCCTGCAGGGAGAGAGGCCTCTGCTCAGGGGCCACCCCACCCCCACCTGCCAGGACACTCGGCCCCCCCCGGCTGCAGGTACCAGCCCCCCCCCACCTGCCAGAACACTTGGCCCCCCATGGCTGCAGGTACCAGTCTGGGCTGGGAAAGGTGGGAGGGCACAGGTAACATGAGGCTCCGTGATGGCGGGTGTGAGAGGAGGCAGTTATGGGCCTGAGCCCTGACACATACTATGGGCCTTCCCAGCATGGAGAGTCGCTGGGCCCTGGTGAGTCCCCTATGCCCTCCTCCACAGACACAAGAGAACATGGGCTCTCTGAGGGCAGGCCTGCATCACTCACCAAGGGTTCTCTTCCTCCAAGAGGTCCGGCAGAACATTGACCAGAGCAATGTAGAGAAAGCCCCCTGAGGTGAAAGGGAGGATCCAGGCAATGGTCTCCCCTGCAAAGAGTGAAAGAAACCCCCCCGGTGAGGGGAGAACTCCACTACGTCATTCCCCAAGGCCACTGGTGCTGTCTGCCCAACTGGCCACCGGCCTCTGGGAAGGGCAGGGCTTGGGGAGGAGGCCAGATTCATTAGATAAACCACCCTGGGCCTGGATGGGGTGAACACATGCTCTTACCAGGAGTTCCCTCTCTGGTCCCACATGCCTCGGCTCCCTACCTGCTCCCTTGGGTGACTGGGCACAGATGGCAAAGCAGGCCCCCAGGATGCCCCCCAGCGCCGTCCAGAGCTGCAGCTTGGCTGCACTCCATCGGTCAAAGCCGGCCCGGAGCAGGATCGCAAAGTCACCTACCTGAGGAGAAGGCCGGGCAGGGCTTACTCTGGGCCCCTGGACCCCAGCCAGCTGCACTGACCCGCCCCGGCCCACACCCGGCTGCTCTCACCAGCCGTGGCACCAGCATTTGGCCCTCTTTTTGGACCCCCATGCTTAGCACAGTGGGGGGCACCTAGCAGGCACTTAAATAAATGTAAGCAGTGCTGGGAGAGGGCGGGGTTGGAGCCCTCACACCGAGGCCAGAGTCAGGATGTTCACCAACGCTTTGAGAGAGCTGCCATCTTGGATGCCATGGCCCCTTCTTCTTCTGCATCGTCACCAACGTCCCCAGTGCTACTAACGCCTATTCCTTGCTCCTACCCAAATGGGAGCGCCTCTGCCCCATCTATCACCCAAAGTCCTTAAGTGGCAGAATCTATAAGTCCAAAGTGAAGAGTCCAATCTCTATGCCTTTGCACCCGGCAGTCGTCCCCTCCCCACCTTCTTTCAAGATCAAGCATCATCATCTCTACTTGAAATCTGTGTTCACACCCTTTCTCCTTCACCTCCTGATTTGCATTCCTTTTGATGATTTATTCTGTATATACTTTTTATGTCCTTGTTGTCACTCCCATTAGAATGGAAGCTCCTTGAGGGCAGGGACTGTTCTGTTCACCTCGTATGTGCCCAGTACATAGTAGGTGCTTAATAAATATCTGCTGCGTGACCAACCACGGATAGTGTCTGTGTTTTTGTCTTTCTTTATATCCTTTATATCCCACACAGGGCGTGGCACACAGTCCAGGCCTGTGGATAAACCGACCACGCTCCACCTGATGACCCCTTGCTACGTCATCACTGGCCATTTCCCCCTGAGACAGAGCTCTGCTTGTCAGGCGGTCCAGCTGCCCTCTGCACCCTACTGCCAGAGGTGCCCTCCAGCCCCAGCAGCACTTACCTCATGAGGGATCTCATGGAGGAGGATGGCCATGGTCGTCAGAAGCCCGATCTGCACAGAAGAGGGAGTCTGTGAGGCCAGAAGCAGGGCAGCACAGCAGCCAAGCCCGGCCACGGATCCCCCTGCCCCTTCCAGGACGTGTCCTAGGGTGGCAGCCAGGCCCCTCCTCCCGGGGAAGCCCCTCCTGGGCCCAGGGCACTCACCTTCTTGCTCACTAGAAAGCTGGCAGCTACAGCTAGCCCATGGGTGAAGTTGTCAATGGTGTTTGCCAGCAGATTGAGATAGCCACTGATCTGGAGGGTGGGAAAGAAAGGCAGAGGAGGCTGAGTCACGCTGAGGGGGCCGTGCAGGGAGCACCCTGGGGCCGAGGGAGGGGGGCCGCGATCGGGCCACTCACTTTGATTTTCTGGACCTCAACGCTCAGGCCTGCTACTGCAGCCGGCAGGGCCAGGCAGCGGCCTCCATTGCGCACGGCAGCAGCTGGGTCTTTGATGGGGGCCTGAGTCCAGGAGAGTGAGGGAGAAGTGGCCGTTAGACGCCCCCCACCCCCACTGAGAGAGACAGAGACAGAGACAGAGACAAGGCACCCTTTACTCCAGCCATCCTCTGCTGGTCCCTGAAAAGCTGGATGCCCTCAAGCCCCTTCCTCCCACCTAGAGCGGGTGACTCCAGGAGATCAGGCCAGTGGCATCCTCTGACCCCAGCTTCCCCTCACCACCAGCTGGGTATGCTGGAGGTCTTCCTGTCCTCCTCAGAAACACTGATGGGGGACAGAGTGAGAAATGGGGGGGCACCCCTTTGTTCAGGGCTCCTAGGGTCTAAGCAGCAGGATACCTAGGAGGTACGAGGAGGGCAGAGATCCAGGGGGCATTAGGGGGCAGAGACCTGGGGGTATGAGGAGGGCAGAGAGCTAGGGGGGCATTAGGCGGGTGTACTGCTGAGCTGGGGCCCAGGCTTCTGCCCTCTCTGCACAGGGCTCACCTGGCTGGGGCAATCCTTCTCTCTGCTGTCTAAGAACATCTTCTCCAGCCCCAGGAAGGTCAGGAAGCCAGCAATGACCCAAAGTCCCAGGAGCTGTTGCTGCTGAAGGCTCTGCCCTCCCCCACCTGCAAAACAAGGGAGGTCACAGCCGGCCAGAGAGGAGAGGGGGGTTTGTGAAGGGGAACCATGGAGGGGAGACAGAGGCTGCCCAGAGGCCAGGGTGCTAGGCCTGCACACCTGCTCCATGGGCCAGTGCTATACCAGATGGCCAGAACCCCCAGTGACCTACTCTCACATTTTCTACCCTGTGTGCTCCTAAATTCCCAGGCATTCCTAGCGGAAGGTTCAGCGGTCTGCAGCAAAGTCCAGTGGGCCGACCCTCTCATCCCTCCTCATCAGAGCTGCCCCCCATGAGCCTTACCGGTGGCGGCACTACAGGTGTAGGCCCAGGCCTCTGGCAGCAGGTGCAGAAACACATTCCCCAGGAGCCCTCCCAGGGCAAAACTCAGCAGCTGCTTCAGGCGGTGGGATCCAGCTGCAAAGCAGACAGAAGGCTCAGGTCAGGCCCCTAGGGAATAAAGAGGAGGCTCTGGCCTGAGGCCACCAGCCCTGATTCCTTGGGACAGCCTGAACCTGGCTCTGACGTTTGCCTTCTCTGGGTACCTTCCTCAGAATCCCCAAATCATGCCCGCCCTAGACAGCAAACAGTAGCTGGACAAAGAATGCCTTCTACCACACTGTCCAGAGGTCACCAAGCCTCTGCCTGCTGACACAGCCATGATGCTCCAGCCCACAGCATTCCATCGGGGGGTTGCCCTCTAAGTGTTGAGTTTTTCTTCCTATCTGACTGACACCTGCTTCTATACACCTCCCCCCACTGCAGCTAGTTCTGCCCACTGGGCCCAAGCAGAACAAGGCTGAGAGGCTGAGCTTTCTCTTTTGTGATGGCCTCAACACCATTCTCATCCCCTTCCAAAGGGTTCTTTAATCCACATGAAACATCTCTGATTCCTCCCCTGATCCTCCAACAGCTTGGGCTCCAAGGTCCTCACTGTCCTGGCCACCTCTGTCTGGGTGCCTTCCAGACGGGGCCTGCTGCGTTGGGGGGGGTCCCAGCCGGACTCTTTCGACCTCCTGGGAGAGGTGACAGAGCACTAGGGATCCCTGGCCTCCTTCCAACCAATGCTTGGGCACCACCTCCCACATGAGGACCTTGCTGTCCCCCACTGGAAGTGCTGGACTTCCACATGTGGGGGCACACACATCACAGCCCCTCCTGCCCCCTTATGTTCTCGAAGAGTGGGAGTCACATTTTTGCCTCCTAACCTGGCACCTAATAGAGAGCCTGTATACCACAAGTGCTTAATGTTTGTCTGTTTCTTGTATTGTGCTAAATTTCCCAGACTTCTAAATCAGATGTAAACAAGTTCTCTAGAGCAAAGCCCAGGTCCTCTCTTTTATCTTCCCCATAGCACCCAAAACTGCTGACTACCAAGGGACTGGACTGGGCCCAGAGGGGCTCTGGGGCCTCCAAACATCAGACAACTCCCAGGCAATTGCATAATCCGACTTCAGACATTTACTGGCTGGGTGATCCTGGGCCAGTCACTCAACCTTTGTCTGCCTTAGTTTCCTCTTCTGTAAAATGGGGATAACAGGAACATCCAAGGAGCCAATGGGATAAGCACCACGTAAATGCTGGCTACCTTTGTCATGAAGTCATGTACATAACTCTGCAGGCCTCAGAGATCACTTAAGATGGGAGCATCATAGAATTCGCCTAATCCCTCCCAGCAGAGACGTGAGGGGCCTGGCCCTCCTCAGAGGCAGGGCTGACATCCAGGGCTACGGGCCACTAAGCCCCAGGAGCCTGGGTCTGGAAGGAAGAGGACTGGGGAACCTGCCTTCAGAGCGGAGGGCAGCGCCCATCTCCAGGGGAATGACCAGCAGAGGAAAGACCCCGCTGAGCCCCACCATAAGTGAGCCAAGGAGGGAGCAAATCCAGGCATCCAGCCGCTCTGCACTCAGCAGGGCCCCCCAAGATTCGCTCTCGTTGTCATCCAGACGACAAGCTGCCGCTGCTGCCCCCCGGCCCAGCAGGGCCGGCTGGGCCCCCCAGGCCACCCCAACGAGCCCCAGGGCCAGGGTGGTGAGGAAGAGGAGGCTTTGCCCAGTCATGCCAACGCCAGCACAGGGGCATCCAGGCGAATCACGTGCTGAAAAGAGATAAGAGACTGGAATGAGTCCTCTATGTGCGCCCCAAGGCAGGGCACCTGCTCCAAGACACAATCTCAGGGGGCTGAGGGTGGACTCAAGCCCTGCTTCCTGTGCCAGTCTTCCCAGTTATGCTCACTTCTGACAGGCACTGCCCTGAGGCCCAAGGGCTCCCTGGAAGGTAGGACCCTTTCCTTCCTCTGAGCACCAGACAGACAGCTCTGCTGCCCTGAGGCCAAGCTTTCCTAATGAAAGGGTGAGGCCCTGGCTGGGCTCAGAACACCCGCCCAACAGGGTGCCTCCTGCTGCCAGGGGGCAGGGCCCAGCCCCACAGGACTCTACAGAGCAGAGATTCATTCCCCAGGGCCAGGAGAGCCCAGCAGATAGGAAAAAGACAATGGCCACACTTCCTCCTCTTCCTCCTCTCCACCCCCAGAAAATCTAGGGGAGGGGGTTGTGCGAGGGAGGGAGAAGGAGAGGAAGGCAAGGCTCCATCCATCAGGACAGGACATGCCCAGGACATATGGAGATAGGGAGGACTAAGTTGGGACGGACCCCGGAGACCACCCAGTCCAACCCTCTCTTTTTACAGATGAGGAAACTGAGGTCCAGGGGAGTGAAGCTGTAGGCAGTAAGTGGTAAAGCCAGGCTTCCAAGCCCAGGTCCTCTGACTGCAAAGTCAGCTGTCTTTCCACTGAATCACCTCTGGGCCAGCCTGCAGCAGGCAATGAGTCAAACAACAGAGATGTCAAGCTGCGACTGGAAGCCGGGGTTGGGAATTCTGAATCCCAGCTCTACCTCTCTAAGCTAGTTATTTCCTTTCTCTGTGCCTCAGTTTCCCTCCACCTCCCTGGTGTGAGTAGGGCTTCAGATGCTGCCAGCTCAGGAAGAGAAGGAAAAAGAAGTCCCGGGACCCAGTTTCCAAGTGAAAAGCAAGAGCCCACCCTAGAATCTCAGAGCCCCGACTGGGGACTCACACTAACCACTCTCCTCTGCCCACGTCTGCCCACGTGGAGCACCGCCACAGCCCAGAGAGGTAATGGGCCGGACAGATGCTCCATCTGCATCATCAGCCAAGCGGAGACTCAGGGAAAGGGAAATGTTACTCATAGGATGGGTCGGGAGGGAAGCCTCCAGGCAGACAGCGAGAAGGCTGGGCTTTTACACCCACAGAAATCACAGACTTTCAGCATCTCACAGTGGGATGGGACCTCTCCTCCGGTCCAACCCGTCCCGTCCCTGAACAAGAATCCCTTCTAGAACATTCCAGGCCAGTGGTGGGTCCAGCCTTTGCCTGAAGAGCACCAGTGAGGGAAGGGGGCGACCCATGACCACTGAAGGCAGCCTGTTCCACCTTGGGACTTCTTTTTTTTTTAATTTTTGGAAAGATTTCCTGCTATCAAGCCTTTCTTTGCTGCCTCTTCCCCATCCCATGTCACAAATTATACTATAACCCAAATAAACCCAGACCCACCCCTCCTCCCCTCACCTCAGAGCAAGAACCCAGGGAACCTACAAGGAGGTGGGAGTAAGGGATAGGGGCTGGAGGAGGAGCCAGGATCTCATCCCAAGCTTGCCTGGGTCCTCAGGCAGTGGGGGTCAACCTGCCGGCATGTAGATTGGGAAGAGGAGGGGGATGTAGCTCTGATGGCACTGATTCCTCCATTAAAACAGACCCGATCCCCTGTTTCTATAAAAGAAATCAGACGGACTAGGTCCTTCCCAGCTCAGTATTGAAGGTTCTAAACTCGAAGACTCCTGACAGGCCTGCCATCCTATGTACTAAGCTGGGATCCTAGGTCTGAAGATGGAAGGGGCCTTACAGCAGAGAATGTCAGAGTCAGGACGGACAGACCATAGGAGGTAAAAGTCTGAGTGGACAGCTAGCATCAGTGTGGTCAAGTGACTTGTCCAAGGTCACAGAGTATTCTTCCCATGTCTGGGTCTGTTTCCTCCTCTGGAAAATGAAGAGTTTGGACTACGTGAGCTCGAATTTCCACAAATACTGGAGGGGGATGGACCAGTGAGCCAATGCCCTCCTGTGGGAGCCTGCTCCCTGATATTTTAGGGTCAGTGGGAGAAGCAGGGCAGGGGAAGGGGGTCCAGCTCCCTGCTATTGGGGGTCAGTCTGAAGGGGGAAGGGTAGGGGTCCAGCTCCCCACTCTTTGGGAGGTCAGCCGGAGGGGGGCAGGGTAGAGGTTCAGCTCCCCACTCTTTGGGGTCAGAGGGGTGCAGGATAGGGGATCAGCTCCCCACTCTTTGGGAGGGTCAGTTGAAGGGAGCAGGGTAGGGGATCAGTTCCCCACTCTTGGGGGGGGTCAGTTGAAGAGGGCAGGGTAGAGGTCCAGCTCCCCACTCGAGGTCAGTCGGAGGGGGGCAGGGCAGGGGGTCCTGCTCCCTTCTATGGGGAGGGTCAGTCGGAGGGGGGCCGGGGCGGGGGATCCAGGCGGGGGTCGCGGGGCCGGCGGACGCGCCCTGCCCAGCCCCCGGCCCGGCCACTCACCGTGCGGCGGTGGCGGCAGCGGTGGCAGCAGCGCGGCTCCGGGCGGCCCCTGCCATCCAGCCCCAGACGCAGCGTCTCTGCCCCCGCCCCCGCCCGGGCCCGGCCTCGGCCCGGGCCCCGGCTCCTCCCGTCCTCCGCCCCCTGCCAGACGGCTCCGCCTCCCCGGAGCCCGGCCACGTCAAACGCATCCCGAGCCCGGAACCCGAAACACTCGGGCGCCGGCACCGCAGGGGAGCGCTGACGGCGGGGAACGCTTCCGCCTGTCGCCTGCCCGTGGGGGAACCCGGGTGGGGGAGGCGCACTTCCGTCCCGCTTCCGTACGGCCGGAGGGAGAGAAGGAAGGCCTCTGGGGCGGAGCCTCAAGCAGAGGGGCGTGCTCCCCCGCCCCCTCCCGCAGCGTTTGTGTTGGGGTGGAAGGGGTGGGCAGCAAAGAGGTGGGACGAGCGCCAGCCCCGCCCCTCCGTGCTCCATTTCTCCGCCCCGCCCTGCCCCGCGGGTCTGCGCGTGCGCTTCGAGCGCCTGCCCTTCCCCGGCTGGCGGTCCCCGCGCGGCCGCACGGTGGCGCCACGGCTCGCCTCCAGGTCACGCCTCTGCTGGGGAGTCCAGGCCAAGGTAGCCGGGCTCGGCGGGGGCTCGCGCAGGCATGCGCAGTGCGGGAGCTCCGGCCTTCAACCACCGTGCTTGCTACAAGTTCGGGCAGGGGCCAGGCGGGCTCTGACTCAGCCTGGAGCCAAGCTCGGGCTTGTAGGGAAAGGGGAAGTGGGGGCCGCAGGGAGGGGCGGGCCAGGAACCTCAGAAGAGGGAATTTTATTCTTACTCATCGAATTATTTTTGTGTTTTGGTTTTTCGCTGGGAGCCTGGTTTCTGTCTCCAGGACCGGTAACCCTTTGGCTCCCGGCGGGCGGGTGGGCACAGATCCCGGGCGGCCCCTAGTAGGGGCCGGGGTCAGCCTCGGGGGAAAGCCAGGGCTGATCCCGGCGCATTTATGTAGCGCCTACTGTGTGCCGGCAGCAGTGAGTGCAGAGCCAGAGTTCTGGGCTCCAAGGCCAGCCTTGCCAGTCACTGCATGACCTTGGTCAAGTCAGTTAACCCAGACCCCCGAGGGGGGTTAGATTAAATCAGCGAGTATGTATGAAGTGCCAACTGTGTGCCCAGGTGCTGTGTCGGGGGCACAAAGGCATAACCAGTTCCTGCCCTCAAGGAGTCCACAATCTAAGGAGGGGAACAACGCACTATGTCCCAATAAGATAGGTCATATGGGATAAATTAGAGGGCGTCCTAGAAGGAAAGCACTAGGAGTAAAGGAGGCTTGACCGTCTCCACCCAATTCCATGCTCATCGATGAGGGCATGGGAAAAGGTGAAGTGGAGACCTGGGTTCCAAGCCTGGTTTTGCAGCCAGCTGTAAACTAGCTCCAATCTCTTCCAGGTTTAATTAAGCATATCACTCCCCCCTTCCAGCTCTTCAGTTGGGTCCAATTACCCTTCTACTGCTTCTCGTGAAGGACGTTCCCTCTCCTCCTTCCTGCTCCTTAGACTCTGTAGGGCCCCAATCTACCCGCTGTAATGAGGCCTTTCTTGGCCAACTCCAGACCTTCATCAAATGTGAACTCTCCTCCCTGAAATCACCTTGTAGTTACTTTGTAACTATATGTTAACATAAGTATATTATATATATATACTAACTATATATTAACATACCATTCATCTACGTCTCTAGAATGGAAATTCCTTGAAGGCAAAGGGTTGTTTATTTTATATCTATGTATATCCCAGTGTCCTGCCCATAATAAACACTATATATACTTATGGATTGATTATTTGATAAGTCACTTATTACTTATTATTATAGGGACAGCTAGGTGGTGAAGTGGAGAGAGCACCAGTCAGGAAGACCTGAGTTGGAATCTAGCCTCAGACACTGACTAGCTGTGTGACCTTGAGTAAGTCACTTAACCCAGTTTGTGTTGGTTTCCTCATCCAGACAATGAGCTGGAGAAGGAAATGACAAACCACTGCAGTATCTTTGCCAAGAAAACCCCAAATGGAATCATGAAGAGTCCATCACGACTGAACAACAACTTATCATCTGGGTGGCCTTGGGCAAATCTCAATTTCTATGGGCCTCAGTTTCCTTATCTGTAAAATGTCAGGGATGGCCTAGACCTCTAAATTCAACAAACGTTATTTTGTGCAAGACACTGAGATACAAAGAGTTTACAAAATGACAGATGGTCCTTAATGAGCTATCTACTGGATGACCCAACATGTAAATGCAAGATAATTTAGGGAGGAAGAGAGCTCTGTGTGTGGGGGGGAGGGGGGGTGGTCAAGATCGGCTTCCAGTAGGAGGTAACACATGCATTAAACCTTGAAGAAATAGACTGATTCTGAGAGACAGAGGGGAGGATGGTGGTCATGGACAGCCTGTGCGGAGGAAGAGGCTAGGTTTGGCTAGAACACTGAGTACGAGCCAAGGGGGTGATGGGAAATCAGTCTGGAAAGGTGCAGAGGAAAGTCCTTTCCTGCTCTAGCTGTCGGTGATCCCAAGTCGCCTGCCTAAGCTAGCCCAGAGAGCCAGGGCTGGAATTCCCAACCTTTCTAGCCGTTGCCAGAGGTTTCCATTACAACTGAGAGCAGAATCTGCTCTTGGAACCTTGTAAGGAACAGCAACAAGGAACCAGCCTCCACCAGGTCTCGGGCCTACATTCTCCGCCGCCCGTCCCCTTTTCTTCTCCCTGGGCTCCGTGGGCACACTGGGCAGTGGAGATTTCCAAACCTGGTGGATGCTGTCCTGCTGCCCCCAGACATTTACCACTACCTGACTCTCTCCATTTCCTCCCTTCCCCTGCTGGGCAGTTTTCAGGGAGACCTCCAGAGGCTGATTTACCTATCCTCTGGCAATAATCCAACTGTTCCCCTCTGAACTTCTCCCCAGCCCTGAAGACTCAACATCTTGAAAGCCCTGTTCCTCCTCACCCTGCACACCACCCTGCTCTGCTCAGGGCTCCCACCTCTGAGACAGAAGATCCCAGGTTGACTTCCGGGTGGGAAAGGAACATGGCAGGAATGCGATTCTGGGACCAGAATGCTGGATCACTGCAGCCACCTCTATCCCAATCCCTCAGCATGCAAATCATTGAATGCCAGGCTTGGCAAATCAGCTAGTCAGCAAAACCAGCTTTTATTAAGTATTTGCTCTGGGCTAGGCTTGACTTCATAATATACAAATGATTTCATAATAACACTGTCAGCATTCTGAAAGCAAATATTTCTGTCCTTGGCCCCTGACCCTGACCCTGACCACTGAGGATGAGGGACAGCACCTAGAAGCTGTATCCAGGACTTGTGAGGGCCTCCCTCCCCTACCAAAAATATCTCCCTCACTGAGCTCCAAATATTCTCATCTTCTGCCTGGTCTGAGATTCCTACCCATCAGAGCCACTGATTGGTAAGGATGTGAGAAGGGCTCCTGTGGGAGGCTTCCTGAATCAGCAGATTGTTGACCAAATTAGCTCTGTCACTTGGACATTCTAGAATTCACCAAGCACCGACAGGATGAAATAGAGGGCAAGAGTCTTCAGTGAGGAAGGGTTGGGATAGAGCAGGGGTGAAGATCCTGTGGCCTTGAGGCCAAATGTGGCCCTCTAGGTCCTTGGGTGCGGCCTTTTGACTGAGTCCAGATTTTGCTGAACAAACTCTTTTATTAAAGGGGTTTGTTCTGTGAAGTTTAGATAGCTTTTCTTCCGAGGAGCATGTGTCTTTTAATTTCATGGCTGCAGTCACCATCTGCAGTGATCTCTGAGCCCAAGAATATTGTCTGACCCTGCTTCCATTTCTTTTCCTTCTATATTCTGGGAAGTTTGAGATCAGTTGCCAAGACCTTAGTTTTTTGTTTTTTGTTTTTTTTATGTTAAGCTGCAAGCCAGCTTCTACACTCTCCCGTTTTCACTCTCATCAATATATTTTAACTGCCAAGGTTGGTGTGTTGGCTAGTTTTGCTGAACTGTTTCTCCCCCCTCCCCTCCCTGCTTTTCTATTCTTTGTGAATGGCTCTCTGGGCCCCTGAGTGATACATTCAGAAATTTAAAAAAAACAAAAACAAAAGAAGAATAAATCTTACAAAAAAAAAAAAACTACTGAGGTCTGAGGGAAAAATTTGCAGTGGACAAAGACTTGGAGGTGAGTATTTGGAGATAGATGACCCAATTTAAATCCTGTCTCTAGCACCAGGCAAATGACTTAACCTTTCTGGGACTCAGTTTTTCCATCTATAAAACAAGAGGGTTGGATTAGATGATTTTTGAGGACACCCCCAGATCTAGAGCCATAATCCTATGGATTGGTGGCTCAGGGGAGGCTTCTTGGAGGAGGTGGCATTTGGCCTGGGCTTTAAAGGATGG